TCAGAATCACTTCATTTGAAGATCATAGAACATTAAGAGAAAAACACATGTGAGCAGATTCAAATTGAGCAAGACAAAATCGAAGGCATCAGAATGAATTGATCCTTGGTTTCAATTACCCGTAAACACTTGTTTGGGCCTTTTATCCATTTCTTTCATAACCCTGAACCATGACCTACATTACGTGCCTTACAAGTCCCTTCTAATCATACATGGATTTCTAAGCGGAAGAGACTATCCTCATATTTCATCCCGCCTATCAGGATTAATATTTTACTTATAAAGATTTTCTAAAATCTTTAATGCATGATAGAGAAAAATAACAAAGGGGGGTTAAAGACGTAAATTTCTGAGTAACGTCTTGAAACCAAAGGAGGATTCGAGTTGAAAACCTGAAAGGGCGGCTCGAATATGAAGATTATTACATAGGAGACGATTGCTCAAATCCCTTGATGAGGCATCACACAACATGAATGAGAACATGAGAGTTGGGAGTCAGAGAACACTTCCAATAACTGAGTACAGAAGCTACTCCATCAGATCAGAGAACATCAAATAAATGAGAACACTATACTTTTGATCAAAGATAACCACTTGAGACTTTTTTATCCTTCCTTACTTAACCGTCTCTCAAAGATAGCATTGATCTTGACACTTGTCAAATAGCTATAATTTATTGAAGGATTAAAAGAGTAATTAATTATTTGATATCCAATGAACTCTTGTTTTATGATTTGTCAATTGTGAAACTTTGAAAGGAGTAATATTTTCAAAACTTTTGATTAAACATTTTTCAAAACTATTGATATTTTCAGACTTTTGAAAATAAAAGAAGAAGAAAAACATTTTCAAACAAGATAATCTCTCTCTGGAGGCAATTCTTGGAATTCAAAAAAATATCTATCTGAAGCTCAAGATCGAAGCTGGGGCAAGAGAAGCTGAATTTTAGGGCAAAATTTGATGGAATAAACAAATGGTCTCAGGTCAAGGTTTGTAGGAGTACACATTGGTGGAAATACGGACAAGTGGAATCAATGATAGAGTGAAGACTGCTCTCGCGATCATTCTCCTTCTAGATCGAGAAAAGTATACACATACATACATACATACATACACACACATACATACATGATACATAAATTTGCATCAAACATTTATCATCATGTGTATTAAAGACATTTTTCTCCTCGCTGGAGGACAAATTCAATAAAATAAGATCAAATAAATTTCATCTTGACATCTATCATAACTTCCAAAATAGTTAGTCAAAATTGCATCATTCTGATCTTTTCAGGAAATTGGAGCTCGGAAATAACCAGGTGTTTTCAACCTGAAAGAACAATGCAATCCACATATTTGGCTTCCTGAAGTCAACAATCAGATCTTCTGAAGATGTTTCCTCAACATGCAGGAATCAATAGATAAACTTTGAGCTATTGAGATTATTTTCTTTTAAAAAATAAAGTGTCGTCTCACTTGAGATAGTTTTCTTAAAAACAAATTTTATTTTGTCTCGCTTGAGACAACATTCTCTTTAAAACAAATTACGTCTCGCTTGAGACATTTTTCCACAAATTTTGAGAATATTAAAACAAATTGCGTCTCGCTTGAGACATTTTTCCTTTGAGATACAAATTGTGAATTTGATTCACTTAAAACAAAATTAATCTCACCTTAGATTGTTGTTTCTTTCAAAACAAATTTTGTCTCGCTTGAGACCTTTTCCCTTTGAGATCCAAATTTCGAATTTGTTTCACATTAAACAAAGTTGATCTCACTTGAGATCGTGTTCTCAAAAACAAACTTTGTCTCGCTTGAGACAATTTCTCTAAAAACAAATTTTGTCTCATTTGAGACTATATCTTAAAGCAAATTTTGTCTCGCTTGAGACATCGTTTTCTCTCATAATACAAATTTCAAGGTTGTTGTACTTAAAGCAAAATTAATATCACTTGAGATTTTCAAAGCTGATTTGTCTCGCACGAGACAGTTTCCCCTTTAAACAAATCCTGAAATTGTTTCATTTGAAACAAAATAAACACGTTTGAAAACACCTTTGAGGTTATTTCCATATAAACAAAATCGACAATATTTGAATCTTTTAAAATGATTTTTTTTGTCTCTCTTGAGACAGTTTCTCTTGGAAAAAAATCTTTGAGTTTGTTTCTTTGGAAAAAAAATCTTTGAGACAGTTTCTCTTAAAAAAATCTTTGAGTTTGTTCCTTTTGAATAAATATTTTTGAGTTGTTTCTTTTGAAAAATCTTTGAGTCTATTTATTTTGAAACAAAGTTTTGTCTCTCTTGAGACAATTTCGTGAAAAATCTTTGAGTCTGAAACGAAGTTTTGTCTCTCTTGATACAATTTTGTGAAAAAAATCTTTGAGATAGTTTCCTTTGAAACAAAAATCTTTGAGTTTGTTTCTTTGGAAACAAAATTTTGTCTCTCTTAAGATAATTTCTTTTGAAACAAAAATCTTTGAATCTGTTTCTCTTAAAATGAATTTTGTATCTCTTGAGACCGTTTCTCTGGAAGTAAATCTTTGAATATGTTCATTTTGAAAATCTTTGAGTTTGTTTCTCTTAACAAAATCATCTTTGAGTCTATTTCTTTAAAAACAAATGTTGTCTCTCTTGAGACAGTTTCTAATGAAAAACTAACTTTTGAGATTGTTTCATTTGAAACAAATTTGGTCTCACTTAAGATGTGATTCATTTTTGAGTATGTTTCTTTTGAAACAAAATTTTATCTCTTAAAGACAATTTCTTTTGAAAAATCTATGAGTTTGTTTCCTTTGAAACAAAATTTTGTCTCTCGAGACAACTTCTTTTGAAGATACCCACATTTGATATCGTTTCTATTGAAACAAAATTTTGTCTCTCGAGACAACTTTTTTTGAAAATGCCCACCTTTGAGATCGTTTCTATTAAAACAAATTTTGTCTCGCATGAGACAGTTTCCTTTCAATGACATCTTTGAGTCGTTTCCCTTCAAACGAATTTTGTCTCTTGAAACATTTTCTCTTAAAACAAGATCATCTTTGAGTTTGTTTCTCTGAAAACAAGGTTTTATCCCTTAAAACAGTTTCTTTTGAAGAAAAATCTGATTCTGTTTCTTCGGAAACAAAATTGTCTCACTAAGATACAATTTTCTGAAAAACAAAGTTTTGTCCCTTATGACAATATTTTCAAGAAGAAATCATTGAATCTCTTTCATTGGAAACAAAATTTTGTGTCTCTCGAGACAGTTTCTTTGAGAAAAATCTTTGAGTTTGTTTCTTTGGAAACAAAATTTACCATCTTTGAATCTGTTTCCCTTGAAACAAAATAAACATCTTGTAGATCGTTTTTCTTGAAATGAATTTTGTCTCATTTGAGACAATTTCCCATGAAACACCGATCTTTGAGAACATTTCCCTTAAAAACAAATTTTGTCTCACTTGAGACAATTCCCTTTAAATGCCATCTTTGGGTTGTTTCTTTTGAAACGAATTTTGTCTCTTTCGAGACAGTTGCTTTTGAAAAACTTATCTTTGAGTTTATTTCACTTGAAACAAAGCAAATATCTTTGAGATCGTTTCTCTTGAAACGAATTTTGTCTCCATCGAGACAATGTTTATCAAAATCCAATTTTTGAGTTTGTTTCTATTGAAACACATCTTTGAGTTTGTCACCATAGATAACCAGCCGTCCTCATCACGTAGGAACCGTGTTATCACCTTTAGATGGCCAGATCTCTTCATCACGTATGAGCCGTGTCATTCCTCGACCAGATCTCCTCATCACGTAGGAGCCGTGTCAATCATAGATAACCAGCCGTCCTCATCACGTAGGAACCGTGTTATCACCTTTAGATGGCCAGAACTCTTCATCACGTATGAGCAGTGTCATCCCTCGACTAGATTTCCTCATCACGTAGGAACCATGTCACCCTTAGATGACCCGAACTCTTCATCACGTATGAGCAGTGGCGTCCCCAACAACTAACATTATCCAATTTATAGGAAAATGAAAGAGAACCAGACAAAAACGTGTTGTATTGTCGTCTTTGCCCTATTCTTGTTAACACAAGAATGTGCAAAGAGGGGCAGCTGTAGACACCCGTTTTTGTCCGGGTCTTGTTTGTATATTATTATCGTTATTATTATTATTATTATTATTATTATTATTATTATTATTATTTAATTTACATTTACAAATTTTGCAGGCCTAGTCCCTAAGCCCAACAGCATACCCAACAAGCTGGAGCAGACCCGGTTCAGGCCCAATACCAATCCCAGGCCCACTTGACAACCCAGCTAGGGTTTCATCTCAATGGTCCAGCCGCCTCCTTTCTGGCCGTTGGATCTGGACCCATCCAACGGTCCAGATCACACAAAGCTTAGGGTTTTAAACCCTAAACCTATCATCATTCAGCCGCCGCCGCCGCTTCTGTTGGACTGCCAGCCGCGCCGCCGTCACTGTTCCGGCCCACTCCGATGGTCCAGCCGCCGTTCCCGCGCCACCATCGTCATCTACAGTGAAAAAATCAGAAAACAAATCAACCCCAAGTTATCATCTACAGTGCACCAACTCCCCAAATTTAAAAACCCCAAATAAAATATAACCTAAATCCCGATATTTACGGGATTTAATCCTGCAAAATCAGTGAGACTCATACCCCTATTCTAGATATCATCATCATCTCACCCAACAAACAAGATAAAAGTACATGCAGCAACAAAAAGGGGGGGAGAGAAAAAAAAAGGGAGATTCGGGTTGGAGGGAGGAAGCCCAGAAAAAAAAAAAAAACAAAGTAGAGAAGGAAAAGAATGGAGAAATCTTACCTTGGATCCAAAACCCGGTCGTTAACGGTGTTGTCCGAGCTCCACCGAAGGTAAACCCTTCCCATTTTAGATCTAGGGTTTGAATAAGGGTTTTCGTTTGATTTTAGGGTGATGGAGAGGCTGTTTTAGAGTATAAAAGAGAGGGGAATGTTAAAGGTTGGAGTTTGGGTCTTGTTCTTATGCCATCGCCGCCGGCTGCGCCGGCCGTGGCCTCTCTATTTTCTCTCCACGGCGGAGACAGAGGCGGAGAGGGAGAGAACCTTGAGAGTTTTTTTTCCTCTCTGTTTTAAGAGATGAGAACGGCTGAGAATGAGAAAAAAGGGTTTCAAAACCCTTATTTTGGGTTATGATGGACCCAAAACGGCGTCGTTTAAGCCAAAGGGTTTCTGTGTTTTCATATAAAGGGGTAACTACTCTTTTGGTCCCTGATGCTTTGTAACCGTGTTATTTAGCCATGGAATGAAGTTTACATTATTTCAATTTGAGCCTTTATCTTTTCATTTTTATATTTTAGTCACTATCCTAGGTTACATCATTTTTGTGTATATTTGGTTCTGGGTCCAATATTTATAAATGTTACATCTTAGCCACTGATTTAATATTTCATGTATGTTTCTTTGATATTCGAATCTGGCCATCCCATCTTTAAATATTTTATTTTAGTCCTTTTAATGTATATTATGTCATTTTTGTGAATATTTGACTTTTAGACATTATGTTTGTAACAGTTTCATTCTAGTCCTAAGTTCTTGTGTTGTGATATTTGTGGATGTTTGAATTCAGCCATCATACTTGCAAATGTTCTATTTTGGTCACTGTCTGACATTTTATTTAATTACTTTTTGATCCTCCATGTTTCTGTGAAATTTCAATTTAGTCATAAGCTTTACTTTTGGGTTATTTTCACTTCTAGTATTTGACTGTTTAATGTTTGTGATATGGGCTCTAAATTATTTTTGGTTTTATATTTAGTCCTTTAAATTTCGGTTAGTGCTATTTTGGTCCATTAACTTTCTGTTTTTTGCTGTTTAGCCTCCTAAGTTTCTGTTTATATTATTTTAGCCCCTTAAATGTTTTATATTTATTTTGGTTTGTAATATTTACTAATTCATTTTTAGACATTTATGTATGGATGTGTATTTTACTCATTACTTAATTATTTGGATTATGTAAATAATGTTTTCAATTTCATTTAATGTAAATATTTTTGTATTTCCAATTACATTTATTTTCATTATATCTTTATCTATGTAAGAAATATTCGATTATATTTTCAAGAACACGCATGCGTAGAATGGGCGTAGAAAGTACCACTTGGTCGAAGTGATACGATCCGATACGGCATTTTAACGACATAGGAACTTGTAACAAGTCGAGTATATTTTACTAATTAATTCAAACGATGCAATGTGTGTTATTTTAAATGGCAATTTACTTTATTTTATGTGAATGTAAATTTCAAAATTTTTAATTTGTATTCAATTCACGTTTTCAGTTAATCAATTTATTCGTATGTAAACATTGTTTTTAGTTATACTCGATTTGTATTTTTAACATAATCAATGGTAGAATATTCTTTTACGAATGAGAAATGGTTGAAATAGCTTTCCCGACGGAGGATTGCAAATTTCAAGATTTCAGATTGAGTTAAAGGATTTTCTTTAAATAATTCGAGGCAAATTAAATAAATCTCAATAAATGGATCATAGGTTAATTTTATATTCGATTTATCATTTCCATCATTTACGACAATGTGTACGCGACACAGTACCGTTTTTGGGCGCTGTGGGGGTGCTTACCCTTCCCCGCACGTAACCGACTCCCGAATCTATTTAAATGAATCTTTGGTAACGCAGACCGAATCTTGTCTTAAAAAATGATTTTTCTTAAAATTGTTTTAAAAGACGTTTTTAGGTATTCGACCTACCTAACCCAAAGGTTGATGGCGACTCTTTTCAATTTAATTCAAATCAACTCAAAATCACCCAATCTTTCCAAATTAAAGTCGTAATCGTTTTTTTATATATTTAATAGTTTTTTAAAAAAAAATGGTTATGACAAGAATCATCAAGGACGGATTCGTGGCAAGTATCAGAAGAAGCTTCCCATGTAGGACCATAAGAGGCCTGCAGGGCCCTTCTTTGATCGATGGCCTGTTGGATTTCCGTTGAGTTAGAGGACAATGATGAAGACCCAGAATGAGGGAGATTTTGAGATTTCGGCCTCATCTGATCATGCTTACGTGCTAAAGAACAGTATGATCTGTTTAACTCTGACAACATTTTCACGAGTTCTTGTTTCCAGTCGTTAGAAACATCGACCTTTTGGCATGAAGGTTCAGATTCATCAGATTCCTGAAGTAGGGTCATGATAGCTTTCATTTTCTTGTCCAAATCTGCAAAATGATTGGTAAAGGTGATCAAATAAGGAAAGCAAGTCACCTATGCATAGAGGATTTGAATGTAACCCCACCCAATACTATATTATGAAATTTAGAACAACACTTGGCAAGGCACATTGCACTCCCAAGGGCGACTCAAGTTCGATCTTGGAGATCACATTATTAAAAGGACGGTTATGAACCCTGAACATGAAAAGTAGAACAGATATGAATCACAATAAAAAAATCATAATGAAATTTGAGCATCCGTGATGGACTCTCCAGTAAACATTCGTGAGACAATCATGAAACTTTCGGCTAACAGACAATAATTTGCGAGTGGGAGTGAAGTACTACTGGCATGGCAACAGCTCAGGCAGGATGACATTCTTTGTTTTTCCAATCGACCAAATTTTTGTTTTACGGATGTATATTCTATTTGATTTGAAGATTTTAAAAAAGAAAAAATATACTTTTGGGTGTTTTAATTATATCTCTGTTTGATCAAAGCTTATGCACATATCTATAACTAGCAGTTGTTATCATTCTACCATAGAGAAATGGGGGAGAGAGAGAGACAATATGCATGATTTTTGCTGACCTGATAGAGTAATTTGAAGCCACTGGGATTGCTGTGGGATTGCAGTTGCAGGCAAAGAAGAAGAAGAAGAAGATGTTGCAGTGATCTCCATCGAACCCAGAGGATTTATCTATAAATGGCTGTTGGGTTTAAAAAGAAAAGAGAAGAAAATTGGAATGAAAGCGGTGATTGTTTCTTGAATTGCGTGGCTTCTTAAAAGGGTGAGATTGGGATTCCTTTTTCAATTTCAAACGCATTCTATTGATATTAATATGGGTAAATAAATTCTCTGATTCTCCCAATCCCTCACTCTCAAGTAATATACATAGGGTGCTTGAACTGGTCCATAAATGTTCTATTCGAATTGACTCAACTTAAATTCGAACTGGACTCGATATCTTAACGAGTTGAACTTAGTAAAGTCTAACTCAACTCGATAAGTTCACGAGCAACTCGTTAATTTTTTAAAATATATTTTTAGTAATTACTTTAAACTTATTTTATTCAAAAAATGAATCTAATTAATAATTTATTAATAAAAAAATAAAAAAAATAAAAAAATAATAATAAGTTAACTAATCTATTATTTTTTAATAAATAATAAATATTATTAATTAATAATATTATTTTAATAAAACAAACCCAACCCTAATATCCTCGTATAAGACATTTTTCCCGAAAAATTATCGGTGACTAATATATTTATCGATCTAACACCGGTCATACTATATTTCCCGATCTAACACCCTTAGCAGTAAAGCGCGCCCTCTGTACAGCGCTATATACTGATTTGGCGCCACGTGGGGTAAGGTGCGCCCCTGAAGCGCGCCTTATGTTGACATGGATACACGTGTGTAAAGCGCGAGATAGGTGTGTAATTACACATAAGGCGCGGGACAGGGGCCGCGCCTTACCTGTAAATCTGACACGCGTTAGGAAGGCGCGCACCCTGCCCCGCGCTATACATATAATTACTCCCATACCCTCGACGCTTCACACCACAATCTTCCCTATAAATATCCCCATCCTCAATCACTTTCATCACACCAAATTCTCTCAATTTCTCTTAACTTCTCTCAAATACTCTTATAATCTCTTCTAAGGTATATTTTATTATATTTTTAATATTTTGTATTTAATTTATTTAATATTTTACTTATTTAATTTTTTTACAGATATAAAATGAAAAACGGTCTACTTCGCTTGGATGCAAATTATATATCTCGACACTTTGCTAATACGATAACATTTTAACGTTTTAATTTAATTTAAATTATTAGTAATAATTTGTTGATTTTTTTAATGCATGATTATTAAATTAAGAATTAATTTTTGTAATTATTTAATTTTAGGAGAAGGACCGTGTATTAGATCCTTTTATTAGGAAATATATACTGCAACGACGACATTCTTCTACTACTTCCAACATGAATCTTCCTCGAAATCTTCGTTATCAGGTCCTCAAGAGTTATGTTTATCTTAAATGATATTTTAATACGTTCATTTGATACGAAAAAAACGTCGGTTTCATCTTCACGAATTTCACTATCATAATAAACAATAGCTAAAAGTCGCGTCATTCTTTGAGTTTAAAAGTGCGATAATATTATATCTGCAAAAACAATAACTGAAACAAACCTGATTAAATAAAAAATATATGAACGAAAATATAACACAATAAAATTTTTACACATCAACGTAAATAATTTAAATAATATAATTTTATATTATTACCTGCACCGCAAAACTATTTCGACGTATGCTCCCTCTTTCTAATTTTACAAACACAAAAATTAATTGAAAATAATTAGTATAATATGTTTTCAAATAATCATAATAAACAATAAGTATAATAAAAAAATTATAACAAAATTACCTTATAACGAAAAATCACACGAACTTCTAAATCAAATATGAGAAGATTGCCATAATTATTGACTCGTTGACGGAATTGTTGTATTAATTTATAAGTTGAGAGGAGAGATATGAGGAGATGTGATGAACTTAACAGGGGATAAGGGTATTTATAGCCGAAGTCGCTACACAAGGCGTTGTACCTGCACCGCTCCTTATATAATTATATAAAGGTATGGCGCAACCCCTATCCCGCGCTATATATAATTCAGAATTAAAGGTAAGGCGCGACCCCTACCCCGTGCTATACCTCTATATGGCGTAAGGCGCGCTCCAGGGGCCGCGCTATACCCACGTGTATCCCATGTCAGCATATAACACGGTGCAGGGGGCGCTCCTTACCTCATGTGGCGCCAAATCAACATATAACGTGGTTTAAGGGGTGTGTTTTACTGTTACGGGTGTTAGATCGATAAATATATCAGTCACCGGTGATTTTTCGATAAAAACACCCTCGTATAGTATTAGTAAATTTTATTTTTAGTTAAAAAATAAGGTAAAGATTTTAGTAAGCTCTACGAGCAATAAGTCGAGCTTAACGAGCAACGATTCGAGTTGAGTAATAATTTTTTTAACGAACACGAGTCGAGCACAATTTTAACGAGCTTAACAAATAACAAATCGAATTAAACAATAAAAAACTTTAACGAATACGAATCAAATATTGTTCAAGTCACTATCCCCTCGCTCTATGCACCCTGTAAATAGCGCTTACATCTGACTCTTTCAAATTTAGAAGGGTGATGATATGACAAATCTGTTTTTTATATATATACTACCCAAATCCGAATATTTAGGCTTAGACCACTCCAATTTTTGACTTTTTCTTTATAATATATGAATTAATATATGAATTAATATAAAATAATATCTGTTTAAAAAATTTTAATCTTTTAATAATATATGTTTACTGTACTTGAACTAATACCTCAAAGAATGACAAAAATATTTCAAATATGCATTATATAATTTTTTTATTTCACCATACAATAACTATTTTAGTGAAAAATAATGTAACGATGTATATTGTTTTTAAAATATAATTTTTTGAGGATAATATTATTTTCTTCTTAAGTTATATTGGTTCGTTTATTTGATAGGAATATAAGATTATAGTATTTGATTCAACCGATATAAGATTACTTGAAAATATATTTTATTAAATTGTCATAATGATATATTTTCTTTTTAATAAATTAAAATTTTGATATTAAATTAAAATATTTATATAAAAATCATAAAATTATTTATGTTATACTATTTGATTTTAACATATTAATAATGTAACACCCTTAACTCATATCCGACCCGAATACAAGTCTGAGGTGTCACATTGACTTTTCAAAACCTTGATTCTTATAGAAAATCCCGGGAATTTTTAAAACTTTCATTAAAACGAAACACATCAATTTACATAAAACCATAAAATACAAAATCGATCAGAGTATTCGTAATTAACACTTATTACATGCCAACATTTTATACATAACCAAGTACATACTTTGTCAATTACTTCTGATCTGATCTCTTAGTAGTATTGATGTCCGTGCTACTTATATTTCCACTTTCCTGATTCTTGGTACCTACGTGTAAATCACTTACACGCTAAGTCATAGACTTAGTGAGGCAATAAATGAATATGCAACAATAAACTTATGAATGTTCATACTTACAATTGGATCATGACATTTCAATATGCAAGTACCTATCGCACGATAACATATAATGCACATACAAAACTTACCTTCTTGTATCACTTTCACTGTAAATCGGTATTTCAATTGCATAGCCCATGTATCTTATTGAGATTAGAGGTATGTGAGTGCATTGAGGTTGTGCACTAATGCTGTCACCACAGCTCGTATCTATTCCCTCATGGGGCACCGAACCTTAGTTCAGTATTCGTCCCGTAGGACTCCTACATCCCGAAGGACTACGTCCCGAAGAACTACATCCCGAAGGAATATTATACCCTCGACTCTTGGCATGCCAATTACACCTATAATTCTCATATCGTATACTATGAGCATTATTCTTATATTTCATATGTCCATGTACTCATGTCATTTCTCTTGTGATCATGTAGCTCATGTCATTTCTCTTGTGATCATGTAGCTCATGTCATTTCATATCATGTTCTCATATCACATGTCATATCACATATCATATCACATAGCATATCACATGAACATATATATATCTTATGCATGTATCACAATAATTATCATGTATGCATGTTCACAACTACTGTATTATAAAAATTAACATAGGGATTAGACTTATCACAAGTCTTATTCCATTATAATATACATATAGTATGCACTTATCTTAGCTTTGCTTTGATTCGATTCTAATCATTTGATCGTTCCGGAATAAGCTTACTTTTAGTATCTACATAATCGCACATGGATTTATATCAGTATTATAACTAATATACTCTAATGATTCACTCATTAGACTAAGAGAAAAGTTAATTTCATCTTTTAATGAAGGTATGCATCAATGCACTACTGATGCATCGGTGCATAAAAGGTATTCGATGTAGTATTATTGCTGGGATGCATCGATGCACTCCTTATGCATCGATGCACCAATTGCATTCGATGTTTTACTATTAATGGGATGCATCGATGCACTACTTATACATCGATGCACATTCATACAATTTATGGGTTTTAACCTTGATGCATCGATGCACTATGAATGTGCATCGATGCACTCTGCCCAGAACCTCTTTTTGAACCCGAAAATCCATTCATTTTGGATTAAATCCTTCATGTTTAATCCCCTCTTTCACTCTTAACTCTAGTACACATCCTTAAACCAATTTATACTCATTTATTTCATCTTAAACCTTCAAATCCTATCCTTCATATGTAATTCAAGAATTACATTAATAAATCAACATGTTTGAATTCCGTTTTTAACACTTCGTATATCTTAACTAGATTGATGACAAGTCAAATTTAAGTTTCAATTATAGTTATGAACTCTATTCCAATATTTCATTTAAGAACTTCAAATCTTAAATCTCTTCTAACTCAATCATCTTTTGATGTTAAGATAACTTAAGCTTTCCTTAAGCTTAGCTATCATCTAATAATCAAAACCTAATATTAAATTTAACAAGAAACTCAATAATCAGAAATCTTACCTTTGCTTTGGTTCACACGTACAAGGAAGAAAGAAGAAGAAGATAACTCTGGAAGGCTTTGGTGTTCTCTTCTTTTCATCCCACT